CCCAGCCCCATACACGGGCCGCAGCGAGGCCCCCGGCTCCTGCCCAGCTGCCAGGCGGAGGAACCCGGCCGCTTGCAGCCGAGATCCAGGCCGCCGAGCCCGGGCTCCCAGCTCGGCCCGCCGCCGCCTGCGTCTCCTTCCCCGGGGCAGGGCCAGGAAGTGCGACCCGACCCCTCCCTCCCCGGGGCCCAGACCTCACTCCCCCACCCCCGATCCCCGGCTGCCGCCCCGTTCCCCAGCCCGGAGCCCCGCTTCCCTCCTGCCCCCGCCAGCTCACCGCACTCCGGAGCCCGGCGGCCTGGAGCCGGGGACAGCTGCCGAGGGCGGCCGTAGAGAAGGAAAAGGAAAGTAAAACTGCTGCTGTGCCGAGCCCGGAGCTCCCCCTGGCTGTCAAGCCTGCAGCCACCTCCGGTCTCTCGTTTGTACTCACCTCTCATGGGCAGGGGCTGGTCTTTGTACAGCGCCTAGCGCCCCGGGGTCGAGGGCCACGCCTGGGGTTCCTGGGCGCTACCACAGCCTCAGTAAATAATAAAGCTGAAGAGCGAGAAAAGGAGACAGGTGCTGGATACTACAGGGACAAGCACAGGATAGGAGCACCCAGGCCGCAGCTACGCTAGGAACTCCTGGCAGCCTGGCTAGGTCGGACAGGGATGCCATGAGGTGTGACCAGCATCAGGCCTGTCTGCCATCAAAAGCCTCTAGTGTAGATCCAGGTATACTGACTAACTTTTGCTGGTACAGGGTAGGGTGCCTGCAGGACAGTGGAAGAGCGGTGGGAGGTGACCTGAGGCGGCTGTGCAGACAGAAGTGGAGCGTTGCTGGTATAAGCTGTAGCCGCACTACAAGTGCTTTGCCAGTATCACTGTACCATGGTGCAAATCACTCCTAGTGTAGAGGTGGCCCGAGCTGGGTGGATAGCCAAGGGGTGCACCCTTCATGTTACCAGCAGCTTCTGTTATCGCTTGTATCTGACTATTCTGTTATAGGAATCTGCTTCATCTTAAGGGAAAATGTACTTAAACAGCGAGGAATTAAAGTTACAAGAGGCAGAAGAATAAACCAAATTGAAGAAAAGGAAAAAGTTTCATTGTTAAAAAAAGAAAAAAAAAACCTTCAGAAAGAGGGAACCATTTTTGTGAATTATGCACGCAAGTAATTATTGTTCTTGCCCAACCCTCTGTCATGGACTGAGAGCTCCTTGGAGCAGAAATGTTTGGAAAGCACCTAGCAGAGAGTGGGCATTCATACAACTAAATAACGAGAAACGTGATTTAGAGAAATAAGGGTAAGAGGATGTCTAGGGGAAAAAAATAATAATCACGTTATAAACAAACACCTCTCTCTCCAGTTGCTAATCGCACTTGGATGATTAGGAGTGAAATCATTTTACAAACCTAGTTTACATTTCACCATCGATACCAATACCAAAACCACTCAAAATGCTAAGTACATAAGAGCAAATCTTTACAGCTCCTAACAAAACTGAATAGCCACATGATGCACTTACTGTAAACTTTGTCCTTCCTGTGTCCCTGTGGATAATTAAAGTTTTTTCTCTTAATTAGCCTCTTAGAGTTGGTAGGACAACTCCCACCTTTTCATGTTCTCTGTATGTGTATATATATATCTCCTTACTATATGTTCCATTCTGTGCATCCGATGAAGTGGGCTGTAGCCCACAAAAGCTTATGCTCAAATAAATTTGTTAGTCTCTAAGGTGCCACAAGTACTCCTGTTCTTGTCCCTTGTCACTGGCTTTACTCTGCAAAGCACCTAGCACATTCCCGAGCCCTGCATACAGAACTACAATAATTATGTGGCCTGTTCCCTTTTGGCACTTCACTGTACTTGGACCACAAAACTAGTTCAGGCTTGGCTCCTGCAAGCTCTGCACACGAGTAAGTCTCCTGTAGTAGAGCTGCTCACGAAGGTTGCAGGCACTTGACCTTTCTGAAAATCGGGCCCAAGGTGTCTCAAGTTGGGCATCCAAAAAGTGGAGGTGCCCACAAGTTAGAGGCCGCTTTTGAAAATGCAGCTGCCTGCCTGCAGCTGGGGAGGAGAGATGGGCGTGAGACAGTGGGAGGAGGAGGAACAGGAGTAGAGCCATGGTTATGCAGCTCTCCCAAGGGGATGAGAAGAGCCCCAGAACTGAGGTAGAAGATGACAGTAAGGCAGGAGGCAGACTCGAGTAGGGAATGTCAATTGCACTTAGAGATTGAATTTACTCACGCAGTTCATTGTTAACACAAAACATTATAGTTTGGGAGGATGAGCTGTCGGGTCTTAGCCTCTCCCATTCCCTAGTAGTGGGTATGGAAGGCGGCATCAGCCTACGCCCCAGCTGGGATTTCTCTTTGCCCCTGGGGAGCCAGCCCCTCCGGGATCCTCCTTCGATCTAGCTAGCTGTTTATACCACCCTCACCAGTGTGATACATGAGAACCTGCATCTCACAGCCACTGCGTGCCCCTCAGCCAGTGCTCAAAGTGGGCAAGCACCTCCGGTGCTGCAGCGCCATCCGGAGGTGGAGAGCAGAGCGTCAGGGATAGAGACAGGATACAGCACAGCAGGCCCTATTCGGTCCCTCACTTTAACATGCAGTTTGGTCTCCCCTTGCCCTGGGATCTTGCATGAAACAGGCAAAAGTTCCTAATGCCGGGGGAATACAGGGTGGCAAAGGGCACATTCATCCTCCCACACCCTGGGAGGTAAGTGTCAACACCCCGCCCCCCCCCACCCTACTTTGACTGGTCAGGAGGCAGAGAGGAGCAAGTGACTTGCCCAAGCTCACACAGAGCCTGAATTAGAAATCAGGAGTCCCAGACTCATGCACACACCCCCCAGGTAACTCTCCAGCCAGATCAGCAATATCACACGAGCGCATCCTGGATTGCAGCCAATGATGCACTGTCCCTTTAAGAGGGGAACCCATTCTGCCTGCTCTATGCTCTAGCAGAGCCCTGCCAGCATTAGTTACTTGCCTGCGACAGACCAATCCAGAACGGTGCCGCCATCTCAGGAGCAGCAATTGAGGTAGGAACTTCTCAGCATCTCCTGTTCCTCTCTCACTGCCGGGCTGGGATGCGGCTAGGGAGGCAGGCCTTTTGCACGGCAGCCTCGGCTTGTGCTGCAGCATCCTTGGTGTGTTACGGGCATTGTTAGGACAGGTGCTTTAACCCTGCAGCGCTCCCTGCTCTCTTTGCAAGGCAGGGAGTGCACCTTTAAGGCTTGTGCAGACAGGGGAACAGGGCACAGGAAAGGTTTGGGAAGCGCAGGGCACCTGGCAGAGGAGACCAGGGTGTGCCCCCAAATAGGGAAAGAGCTGGAATCAGAAGTTGTTCAGTTCATTGTGGACTCAGGTTTAGTTAAGGAGAGACTCTTCGGAAGGGGACAGGGGAGGACATGAAAGCAGGGCTGGGGGCTGAGACTGGGGCAAGGCGGTGAAATTGAAGGAGAACTGATGAGTCTGGCTAGTCCGGAGACGTGGTGAGCTTGTCAGGGAGGGGGCAGCGAAGCTGCTGCAGACGATGAAGTCAGCAGGGACTGCAGCCTGCGTGATCGGAGTCTGGCCTGTTCTGCCCTTCAGGAATTTCCTTCATCTTAAACGCTGAGCTTGTAACTTGGTTGTGGGGGAGGATGCTAATACCACCCCTCAGAGCCATGGAATTTTGCCATCTGATGCCAGTGCAGGACAGATGGGAGACACCTGGAGCTCAGAGCTTTTGGGTTCAGAATACCAACAGCAATGACCTCTGCATCCTGCCCTGCCTTGCTCAAGTGACACAGCACTTAGTGCTGTTGGCCTGGCTGTATTAATGCTGCCAAGGTTTCTGCAAATGGCATGTCAGGTTTGCCCGCTTGGTTCCATTCGCTCCCGGCAGCACACAGAAGATGGCCCGAATAGAGCCTAGTGCTAGAAGAAAGCTATGATTGGCTCCTGGTGAGTCTGGTCAGGTCCCCTCCAGACTGCATCTTGGTGCAGCCTCAGCAGCTTCTCAACAGCAGGAGTCAGAGGGGATAAAAGCACCGTCATGGTGCATCCCATATTAATGACATGCGGTTTGCAATCTGCACTCTCATCTCCGGTTACTCCGTCGCAGTTGGCTCCAAAGGCTGGGCCGGTGGGGGTAGGCGTGGCTCAATGACACAGAAGGTTTCTGAGTCCGCACACTCACGTAGGGCGAGTGCTAAGGGACACTTCTGACCCTGTTGCCAGGATTCCTAGGCCTTGGAGGGAGGAGTCAGAGGGGACTCGACTGAGATATTTGCCATTACACAAAGTGGATCATTCTGTCCTGTCCTGTCACCTGAGAGCAAAGGGGCCACTCTGTGATACGAAGGGCTTGCAAATTTCAAACACACCCAACTAAATCTGACGCATTGTCAAGGATTTACAGGGCGCCGATCACCATGGTATCTGGGCACCATTACACGGCACACACCAATACATTAGTCATCTTATGAAGGGAAACCCAACACCCTGATGCCTGCAGCTTTTTATCTGGCAGTGAATCCAATAGCAAGGCCAGGTGTCTTGCAGCTCTTGCTACAAACAGCCAGGTTCCTGCATAAGCACATTTCTGGAAGGATTGCACTGCAGAGGCACAGGCTGGCTAGTGACAACACCAACCTCAAGCACTCACAAGCTTCACCCTTGGGCTGTTGCATTTTAATTGTCTGTTACTTCACTGCCGCCGGAAGTCAGAGGCTTCAATAAGAAAGTTCTTGCAGTTCTGTAATAACTTAATATAAGAATAACCTACTCTCATGTTTCAGGGTCTAAGGTGCTCAGGGGTCAGGAGGAATTAATTCCGCCTCGAACACTGGTGCCCAACAGCCTGGTGCAACATGGGCTGGGTTGTCTTTTTTCCCTTCCTCTCAGGCTGCAGTCATTGGCTACTGCCAGAGGTGGGATACCAGCCCCGATGGACCAATTACCTGCTCAAGGCGTGTAAATCCTCTCCCCTTGTTCTCAGAAAGCTCCGCCCAGCCTGGCCGGAGGATGGAATCCCTCCCTGAAGCCGTCCTGATCCAGATCCTGGCCTCCATCCCTGCAGTGGAGCTGGTGCTGGTGTGCCGCCTGGTCTGCTGCCAGTGGAAGAACCTTGTGGACGGAGCAGCTCTCTGGATCCTGAAGTGCCAGCAGGAGGGCTTCACCGGGGCAGAGCCTGAAGAGGAGGCCGAGAACTGGCAAACGTTCTACTTCCTGAGTAAGAGGAAGAGGAATTTAATCAAGAACCCCTGCGGCGAAGGCGAGTGACTGAACTTTGTAACACCTTCGCCCGGCGGGGGGGAGGACCGGGCTGGTTACTGAGCATTGTGCATCTCCAATCACTTTAAGAGGCCCTGGGTTGGGCAGAGATGCAGCACCCGTCTCACTGTGTGTGAGACTAAATCAACAACAGCTGGCCTGGGGGTTCCATTAACAGGGGTGGTGGCCAGGCGTTCTATCCTCTTTACACAAGCACCTGCTGGGGATTTCTAGGAGGGGGGCACGTGCTCAGGTCCACCGTGGTTAGTGGCCAGTGCAGCATAACAACATCGCCACCATCTGTGGTGCTTTACTGCACTGTACGCCACCCTCCCCTACAACTTGGCGGCTTCAGCTCCAGCTTCCAAAGAGGAGGAAGGACTGTGTGCTGGTCAAGGCACAGGACTGCAGGGCCTGAGATTTGGGTACCTTTTGGCTCCGCTACGGATTCAGTGGCAATTCACTTACAGGGTTGGTTTCAAAGGGTCTCCGTTGGGCCAGGATTCTGCAGAGGGTTTTGGCTACTATTGGGGGTCTCACAACAAAATAAAAAAACAAGGGGAATTTTTGAAGGAGAACATGGGCAGTGCTTGTTTGAAAATCTGCTTTTAAATGATGTACCCAAGGCTATGTAGTGAGTTTGTGGCAGAGTTTAGAGCTCAAGAACCCCTGGTTCCTGCTCTGCCTACAGACCACTGGATCACGCTGCTTCTGGCTGTATCACTCACCAACAGTTGAGCCGATTTGCTTCCAGCTTTCCAATATAATTCTGAAAATGCTCAAGCCAAAAGGAAGGGTGGTGGTGGTGGTGGAGGATCTTTTGGTCTGTTCTGACCACGTTAGAGGAGGGTTGAAAACAAGGCTAAGCAAGGAATACTGGCTCCAACTTTACAAAGAAAACCTTTACCCGTCTTATGAAAGAGTTAAAAAATTGAATGAGCTTGTCCCCACTGATGCCAAGTGCTAGCTCTGTGCATTTGATTTCAGCTTGGAGAAGGAAACGGATCAGTCCTCTCCTGCACTAGCCCAGTGTGGCAGCCCTGGGAATGTTGAAATACAATAAAAATAGTTTTCAGTGGACTTGTTTAAATGATCACGGAACCATTGCAATCAATGGGGGGGTTTGTAGACGCTTGTTTTTACCAATCTGACATTTTTGCTTTAAATTTGACCCCGAAAGCAGCTCTCTAAGGCCTGGTCCACACACAAAGTCAGAGCAATTTAACATCACACCTTTATTTAAACTGTTGCAATATGTACCTAGACCAGTCTGAAATGCTGGGCAGGGCTCTCTAGTGAAGGGAGGCTGCTAAGACAATGATCAGAGCGTTGGTGCTGAGAATCGAGGGCCAGATTACGATAGTCCTACCAAACAGTGCAGATAGTCAATGGCTCGCTTGTGAAGTAAAGCACAACTCAAATCGAACTCCCTGCCTGGATCTATTAAAGAAATCCCCACGTAGGAAGGTGAAGCCACGCGACTATAACCCAGAGTCTCTCTCTTGTTCTGCTCTCTGCAGAGGATTTAGAGCACTGGGGGGAAGTGGAGAACGGAGGTGACGGCTGGAAAATTGAGGACCTGCCGGGAGACTTTGGAAAAGAATTTCCCAGCGATGGAGTCCACAAATACTTCGTCACCTCCTACGAGTAAGGCTGCCCTCTTCTCTGGCTGGGTTCTACCCTACGCTGGCATGTGAGGAAACAGGGCCGCGCTCACCCGGTAACTTCTCGTCTTCCAGGTGGTGCCGCAAGTCTCAGGTCATCGACCTCAGGGCTGAGGGTTACTGGGAGGAGCTGCTGGACACAACCCAGCCTAAAATTGTGGTAAAGGACTGGTAAGTGTGTGTGTGTGTGGGGGGGGAGATTGTGCTGTGCTGGCAGGGAGAGAGGGGAAAGGCCAAGGAAAGAAGAGAGAGGGAGATGAGGAGAGGCTGGAGTTGTGTCTACACTGGGCTTCTTTGACCCCCATTTCCCACCATTGCTTACGTGGGCATGGGTCCATCAATGATAGCAGGGGCACTGCTCCATGCCTCTTGCAGACTCACTGGTGAGAACACCAGCCCTGGGTCTGCACTAGCACTCCAGCCCAGCTACCGGCGGTGGGAGACTGAACAAGCTCACTGTAATCCAGGTGGTTGGGGCTTGGCTTTCTGGACATGGCTTGGTGTAGGACGGTGCCCAGCCTGGGCCCAGCCGCGCTGCTCTCAGCACCGGGCCTGTTGGCTGAGCGGCCGCGAGGGGCGAGGCTGGCAGCCTGGGTCTCTTTGCAGGTACGCGGGTCGCAGTGACGCCGGCTGCCTCTACCAGCTGCACGTGAAGCTGCTGTCGGAGCACGAGGACGTCCTGGCGGAGTACCAGAGCGACACCGTCGCCATTCCGCAGGACAACGCCGCCGACTGGAGCGAGGTGAGTCACGGCGAGCGGCTGGGCAGAGTCAGGGTGACGGGACAGGGCAGCGCATGCTTTGGGGCCGCAGGCAAAGCCTGATGGGAAGGGGCTTCCCTTGGTGAGCTCAGCTGCCAAAGGAGCAGGATGGGGTGAAGGCTGGGTGGGGGGGTCTTTACCCCGGGATCCTGTCTCTCTCCTCTTCTGCAGCTGGGACCATGAGGCTGGGTTCCATGCGGCTCAGTAACCTGCCAACCCAGCCACGTGAGTGGGTGGGGAGAGGGAAGTGGCATGGAAGGAGAAAGCCGCTGATGGCTCCAGCGTAGCAGTGAGGCCCGAAGACCATCAGATAGCCCATCTCCCGCCAGTGGCTGGTCACCCCATCCCCGCAGGGCCTCGCTCCCCGGAGGGGAGATTCAGGGGCGGCTTGTGACTTCCCGGAAGCCATTGTCTCTCTTTCTCTCTCTGCCCCCTCAGCTCTCCCACACCTTCTCCGACTACGGCCCCGGGGCTCGCTTTGTGCGCTTTGAACACGGCGGCCAGGACACGCTCTTCTGGAAGGGATGGTACGGGGTCCGCATGACCAACAGCAGCGTGATGGTGGAGCCATAGCTGGGCCATGGCCCCTCAAGCCAGACCGGGTCCCATTCACCGCAGCTGATCCCTTGGGTCCTCCATAGGCTTTGGATAGTTTCTGTGTGGTGCTGCCCACCTTTCCTCACTGGGTTACGCAGAGTCTGGGAGTAGCTGCTTTGGGGTCCATTAATGCACCAACCCTTAGAAAGCTTTTAAAAATCTCAGTGCTCTCCTCTGCCCCACTCGCCCGACGCCCTTCCAGCCAGCCGCAGCATCGCTTTGGAATGGTGCCAAGGCTGGAGTAGGGGGAACGAGCGAGCTGGCTATAAATAATTCCAGGACCTTCCCTCTCCTTTCGGCTGATGTCACCTCAGACCCTAAACCTCCCTCCCCAGCAGCCGCGTTGAACAGTGACTCTCACAGTGCCGCTTACCAGCATCAGATACAGTCCACTTTGAGAGGGATTCAGGCTTCATCTTTTAGATGCTTCAAGAGAGCGGCATGGTCCTATGGTCTCAACACAGGACCTGGAAGCCCCAAGTCCCAGTTCTGCCACTGAGCCCCTCTGTGGCCTGGGGCAAGTCACTTAGCTTCTCTCCCCATCTATAACAACAGTTGCCTACTTCCTGGGGGACAGAGCTCGTTAAAGTTTGCTGTGCTAGGTAACTGGTTTCTTTATTATTAAGAATCATGCAAAGCAGCAGGGAGAGGAGGGTGCCTTTCGCTTTAGGCTGGGCCCAGGAAGGGAACGTAAAGATAAAGGTGGAGTCTGCCCTGGATCCTGGTCTAGTTTTGTTAAAGATGAAGCAGCTTAGCTAGTATAAGCCAAAGTCTGGAGAGAGACCAGGACCTGGGCCCAGGCAGATCAGCTAGAAATAGTCCAGATGGGAGAGAGAAAGAGAGTGAACGGACCCAGATCCAGCTGCCCCAATGGACCTCTAGACTGGGCTAAATCCTGAGCTCAGGCTTTGACTTTTTGTAGGCAGGAAAGGGGGCGGTTCTTAGAGAAACCCTCTTCTAAAGAGCATCTTCTGCCTCATCGCTTGGGAACCTTGGCCCTCTCTCTGAACCTCCCCGGCGTGCTGTACCCCACGTACCAGGGAAGGGCGTGCACGAGAGCCGCTTCTCGGCTGACACACCAGGGACTGACCCAGGGACCTCCAGAGCTACTGCTTGAGCTACAGACCCAAGGCTCCTGGGTGGGGAGGGCTGGAACAGGTTCATATCCTCTGCAAATCAGCCTCTGCCCCACCTCCATCTCCTCCTGCTCCCCTCCATCCTCCTCATCTCTCCACTCGGCTTGCTCCGCTTTTCATGCTAGCCCCGGTGCCTCCTTCCCAAGTGCCCTCACTCTCCTCCTCTGGGGGACGTTCTCCCGGACTCCCCACTCTGACTCCTCCGGCGTTTCTTGGGCTTGAAGCTCCTGGGGATTGTATCTGTGGGATGTAGCCCAGGCTCTTATGTCACATGCTAGAGATAACAGGCGGAAGGGAAGGCTGGGCAATGCAGGAAGCCACATGCTACGGAGCCTAAGAACCCACTGCAGCCTCTGAGCTGTGCCCAGGGCCTGCAGCTAGCCCCGTGCTAGTCAGGCTTTGGGAGCCTAGAGAAGCTGCTGCTAAGCGTCACCTGCCCAAGGATGATCCCTGACTGTTTACATGGGGCCTCTGGAAACCACAGATCCACCTCGAATGCACATGCCTATATGCCAGAAACACTTACGTGCATACTCCCCCTTAATGCCCCTTGGCACGGCTTAGGGCTATGCCCACATCACTGAAAAGAAAGTCCTAAACTTAGCTGAGCCAAAACTAACCTGTCCTTCCCCCCCACACACACACACCGCCTGGCAACCAACCCTAGTGAAAGATCCTAGGCAACCCCTTCCCTTAAGCAGGCTGGCTGGGTGGTTGTGGGGAGAGAGAAAGAGTGACTGTGTGAGTGTCCTCTTTGCCTCTGCTGTCAGGGCAGTGCACCCAATTTAACCCCTTAGCACCAAATTGTGCCATTACCCAATGCAACATGCTCGTGTTTCTTTTGCAAAAGGCAAGAGCAGTGCTTAATTTGTGACCTCTGGCCTTGACAGCTCAGAGCTCGGAGGTGCCGGGGCAGCTCAGAGCCCCAGCACTTCCGGCCTTGCTGCGTCAGTTATGGAAGTAAAACAATTGCTTGAGCCCCGGCCCCTCTTGCATTACAAACGAAGCCCTGGGCAAGCGTTTCTGAGCCACCACCGCGTGTGTCCGGCCTTCTGTCGGGCTCTCTGCGAGTCGCTGCACGTGGCCACATGGGCCCCTCTTGAATTCTAAGCCACTGTCCAAGCCGGAGGGTCTCTCTGGCTGAAGACCACAAATAAAAGCACTGTGTGTACAAGCCCCGCCTGGAGGGTCTGTCTGTCTCTCCAGGCTCAGCTCGCTTTCCTCCTGCCATACATGGGTGGGCAGGGCTATGCCAGCTGCCTTCAGCCAAAGGGTGTGTGGCCAGGATTCCTTCCTCAGGGCTGGATCCCCCACGGGGAGGGCCAACATCCCAGCTATACCCGTCCCCTTAAGGAGCAGGCTATGCGTGGGCGAAGGGGCCCATTACCCCTGCTCTGCAGACCAAGTGCGGCAGCCCCACCAATCAAACGCACAAAGAGGCGGAAGTAAATCTGGGGACCCCTTGCAGGCATCCCTGGGGAGCTGGGAGAGCACAGGAGCCGGTCCGGCGCCAGCAAGAGCTTTTCACCCAGCATGTGTCCCCTTCCCTCGCTTGGGGCTCTAAGCTCCAAGAGACACAGGCTGTGAGCCGGCCCCTGCCGAATGGGAGATGAGGCTCTGTCTGCTCAGAGTCCGAGACCTCTCACTGCTGCCTCCCAGGAACCCAGGCTTTCCTGGAGCCCCCGGCTGGCCCTTGAGTCCCCTCCCTTGCTTCACAACGCTGCCCCAGTTGGGGGACTGAAGCCTGGAGTTAACTCCCTGCTTGCTGGGTAGGTCTCAGTACCCATCCCTGCTGCACACACGGGCTCCGCATGGTGCTCGTTAATATCCAGCTCAGTGTCAGTTGCCTGCCCCCTGGGAAGAGACAAGAGCCTGGACTATCCCTAGGGAATTGATACAGGCAGCAGAGGGATCCATGCAACCAGCCACAATACAATTCCTGTGGCACCCACCCCACGTAACATGTGCAGGCCTGAGCTTCACCTCCTCAGGCACTGGGTGTCCCCATCGCTCCACCGGCTGACGGTGCAGGTCTACAGAAGGGAAGTCCTGCGCCCGAGTCCCTGTGGATGGGCCAGCAGGAGCCCTCGGGGAGGTTGAGGGAGGCCCAGTGGCTCAGCCTGGCCGTGTGGGGAACAACAGAGTAAACAGGATCCTTGGGCGAAGGAGGAGCAGCTCTGTGGTTAGAGAGCCTGGCTGGGGGCGACTCCAGAGGGTGTGCCCGGAAACGCCCCGACCCAGAGCACACGCTGAACGTACTCGGGTGGGATTCTTGTGCCACCACCAGGCCTGCCCTGGGCCTGTATCTGAGGGTGGGGGTTACCCTGGCAGTACCTGGTCCCAGTGGGGTCCTGCCTATTCTTTATGCCTGCACTCCAGAGCCCCCTGCCGCCTTTAAACAGGGGGCTGGATTTCCCCCTCTCACTAGCTTGACCTCTGTGTCACTCCACTGAAGACAGGGCCACTCCTGATTTACACCTGGTGTAAGAGCTCAGACCAAGGCCCAGGCGTTTCCTGCTCTGAGGGAGAAGGATCAGCTGAAGGGGGCCCACCTTCCATAACGGTGGCTGGCTGGCATCTCCTGTGCCCAGCAGATGGCTCTGTGGTACCACAACAGGTCCATGATGTGGATTTTCTGAGCTCGCCCCAACGCCTGTAAGCAACTGCTGGGCCCCTTGCAGGACACGCCCCCACAGCTGCTTTGCCAGCGCTGTGCCCAACAGTCTTTCTAGCCGCTCACGCCACACATCCGGGTTTGGTGGGTAGGACTGCAACTCAGCCGTCAGTCTGCCAGGGCCAGGCTGGTGGGCAGGGGGTACAAAAGCACCGCCGCCAGTTAGGCACCTAACTCCCATGGAAAGGCAATGGAAGTTGGGTGCCTGACTCCCTTAGGCCTGAAAAATTAGATCAACCTAGCTACATCGCTCAGGAGTGTGAACAATTTCACACCCTGTGCGAGGGAGTGACGCCAACCTGAGCCCCGGCATAGACGCAGTGAGGCCGTTGGAAGAAATCTCGCAGTGACCCAGCTCCCAACTCTCAGTGAGCAGGGCCGGCTCTGGCTTTTTTGCCGCCCCAGGCAAAAAAGCCTCCGGCCGGGGTGGCCAGAGCCCCGGCGGGGGCTTCGCTCTCCCCCCGGCGGCCGGGGGGAGGGCGCCGGAGGGGAGGGCGGCCGGAGCCCTGGGAGGAGGGCGGCGAGCCCCGGCAGGGGCTCGGCTCTCCCCCCGGCAGGGGCTCGGCTCTCCCCCCGGCGGCCAGAGCGCAGGGCAGCGAGCCCCGGCAGGTGCCGCCCCAAGCACCAGCTTGGTTGCCTGGTGCCTGGAGCCGGCCCTGTCAGCGAGGTGGTTAACTGCATCAGCGGGAAAAACCCTCCTGTCGATATAGGAGCATCCACTCTTCACCAGAGCAGTGCTGCTGGGGGCGCCAACATGGCCTTAGGCACTTTTGAAAATCCTGCTCCTTGTGTCTGTTCTAAATGCTATGCATCTGCCCCCCTTTGCAGCACAGGTGCAGGAACCAGGAGTGCAGGGGGTGCTGCAGCACCCCCAGGTTCTATGCAGGGCTCTGGCTGCTGGCCCTGCACCTGGGGGCTCTGCTCCCGGCCTTGCATGCGGGGTCCCGGCTGCCAGCCCGGGCTGCCAGCCTCTGCCCCTGCCCCCCGCTGTGGCCCCAGCCTTGGCCCCGCCCCTTATCCTTGTCTGCATCCCCCCCCTCCCAGAGCCATGGCCCTGCTCCTGGCCCCAGCTCTAAGTTGCAGCGGGGGGGGGCACAGACAAGGCTAAGGGGGGGGGTGCAGCACCCCCACTCTAAAAAGTGTTCCAGCACCACTGCTTTGCAGCCGGCCCTCCACACCTGGCTCCTGCAGCCAACAATGAAATCTGCCCCAAGGACCCCCCCACCCCTCTCTTCAGAGATC